CAACCACAGAAGACACTACAGGGCAACATACATCGCAGAAGGAGGCAAAGGTGGGGTACTCGGTGCGACTGAGCCGGATGATAGAAAGGGCTTTAGAATAGTTGTTGGTGAATTCCAGGTATGCCTGGTACATGGTCTGCAGCTGGACGAACACATCGCCTATCTTCTGCTCATCGGACCACGAGTCCAGTCGTTGTGTGATCTGATTGGCGTTTGGATGGTGAACGAGTGAATCTAAATTTAGAATGACTTTGTACGAGTCTACAAAACAGGAGAAGGTTGGATACAGATCCTACTTTTTGGGTTTCTTTTATCCGCAATACAAGGTGACTAATAAACTAGCAGCAATACACGGTGATCAATAAACAACTCAAACCACGCCACCCGTCTTTGCCAGGGAGAAAACCAACCATGCACACAATACAAACCGTTGCAGTCGACACACACACACCTGGTCTTTAAGCAGCAAGTGCAAGTTCATGATCTCCTCAATGCGGAAGAAGATAGTGCTGTAGTACTTCTCAGGCAGGATAGGGTTGTTGGTATTGGCGGTGATTTCGATGGGTCGTTTGTAGACTTTAAGTAGAGTGTCTAGTGCGTCGATGTAGTTCTTTTCCGTTTCCAAGATTTCCTCCACGATGAGCTTACGCCGTTGGTGCTGTCGGTGGGTTGGTTTTTAGGGTTTTTAGGGTTGGTTTGGGTGAGTGAGAATAGAGGGTTTGTATGAGAACAAGACATCAGTTGACGACAAAGGTGAAGAAACCCCCTGTGATGTCTGGAATAGAGATTAAACCAATTGTGAATCTAAATAAAATCAATTCAACCGAATTCAACTACCGAATTAAAGCTAACCGTTATCGCAATTAAAACTATCTGTAAGAAAATTAAAACTGTGAGATCATTACAGACATTTGAAGCATACAACTGTGTAGATGCAGGTGTTTCATATCCAGTAGACTATCTGCCCTGCCACTCAGAGATATATTCGCATGTGCATTTGAGATCTGAAGTACGTGCGTGGATTCATTCTGAACTACATCTGAGTATGTTGATATTCCCAAAGGTAACTTACAACTGTACAGATGTGGCGCTCGGCCGCCTAGGCCTGGTCAAGAAAACCCACACTCCATAGTGTATTGCTACACTATGTCGATGAGTGCTATGAGCCCCAGGTGTGCATTTAGAGGCCGTTGGGTGGTCCAACAGATAGGGTTTAGGGTTTACAAATACTGTTAATGTCTACTGCTGCGATTAAGATATCCGAAGGGTATTGTCAATGTGCACTCACCTGCTTTGCCGTTCGTAGGGCTTGGTCCTCCGCCGATTGTACGTTGAGATCACACTGTGCCATGCGCAGATTAGACGACTTCCTTACGGCGTTTGCGTGTTCTGCATCATCTGCTGGCAGAGGGGTATGGATTGTTAGGGATGACGGATGCTGCCTTTATTGTACATGCATACATTGCGATACATGAGATCCCACTTGCGGTTGTATGTTCTGTATCATCCGTTAGCAGAGGAGAACTGCGATGATAGGGGGTGACCTACGATGTTAGGGGATGAATTGCGTTGTTAGGGGGTGATTGAGCGTCAGCGTATGGATAGCACAGGCAAAGGTAACAGTCTGTCTGCCAATGTTCAAGACTCGTAATAGATATCAAAGCCTCGAATGATGATTATATAGAAGCGGATGTTGGTAGATCGGCACCTGCTTTTTTTATATGTATGTTCAAGAAGCATTTGAGAGATACGGTGTGATAATAGGTTGTAACAATTTGAAGTAGAATTTTTAGACTTCGCTTTTTTCTGTATCTGTGTGTTGTTCTGTGATGTTTCAAATATGCACTTCTTTACAAGCAAGCACTCCGTAAACAGCACACGCGCTATCCTGTGCCCCCCCGATAGACTGCTGCGTGCTGTTAGTTAAACTCTGCAATGTACGCTTCACCTCACCACACAGTACACGGGAACCCAATACACCATCCACAAACAATCCTTGAACCCTTACCAGTAAACGTATTTAGCAGCCATGTGAGCTTGAACTCTTCTTTCTTCAGCAGTAGCTTCAGCTTCTCCAGCCGGTGTACCGTAGTATGACATCCTCGCGCAAGGCTCACCCTGCTTTCACCATCCTCTCCCTCTACCAACGACACCTGACTGTCATCTGTAGTAGCTGTGGTAGAGGTACCACTGCTCTGCATACGCACTATACTGGGGAGGCTGTGGAAGCTGCCGCTGTCGTCGCTGGGGGTCTGCGGTGTGCAGGGTGTGGTGTATGTGCCCATACTACTCAGATCATCCTAGTGGAAGATTGAGCAATGCGTATGTCATGTTAATAAACGAATACCAACTATGAACACCGCCACATAAGAGGGGGCAGATTATTAGTTCGTGTATAAATAGTCAATATTCATCTACGTATTCTGTTTAGGCTGGAGGCTGCCTCGTGATGCCTCTGCGATTGTGATCTGCGCATAAGTCAGCATGCAAGTCATCCTCAAGAACCATAATTCGCTCACCGGCTCCGGTGGTCCTTAACCGAACTTTCATAGATATATGGACAGTTGCATATACAATTTGTGCGTTAAAGGCAGTTATATATAAAGAGAGTATATGTGACTAGTCAGTATATACGTCCATGTATCACATATATACCCCACATGGGTGCAACTGTCAGTATATACGTCCATGTACTACATATATACCCCAAATGGGTCCAACTATCAGTATATCCGTCCATGTATCACATATATACCCCACATGGGTGCAACTGTCAGTATATACGTCCATATATCACATATATACCCCACATCGGTGCAACCGTCAGTATATA